GCAGGGAGGGGCGGCTGCATGGTGATGGCCTGCTGCTCCAGGTGCACGCAGAGCTGGTTGAGGAGCTCCTGGAAGGTGGCTTGTCATCCAAAATGACTCCAGCCACTGCTTGTTGTCCCAGGTGCGCTGGATGACATAGAGCCACCAGCCCTGGCTGGCTGGGAGGGCCCACAGGCAGTAGAGCTGGAGCCCCAGGAGCTTGTGGACAGCACTGAGGGACTCGTGTCTGGCTCCCAGATAGACTTTTGAATTCTTACCGAGCTGGAGTGAACTCTAAGCTCAGAGATGAGAGTTCCAGACTCAGACCAAATGCTGCTGCTCCAAGTTGATCCAGCTGTAAATAGGACACCAAGGCAGTGAGGCTATGAATTAAAAAATAGCAGGATGTGATGCTAGCCTCACTGCACCCTTGGGTATTGTTGGCTTCTGAAATGGTGTGCCTAAACCATGATATCTCTATAGATTGCCTGAACTTCATCTCCAGTTCAGAGGCTGCTCAAGAATTTCATTCTTTTGATAGAAACCTGATTTCCAGCTCCATCTTACCCAAGGCCAGCATATTCCCCTTCGCTTTTTTGCCAACATAGGGTGCCTGTACATAAGCATGGAGGCTGCTACGATGCATTGTAATTACAGTGCATCAGAGCAGACTCGATTAATCAAGTCTGTTGACACATGGTAATTACCATGCTCCAGCAGCCTCCCACATCTCGTGTATCAGTGTCCCCACACTTCAAAATGGCGGCAGGGGCATTTGAACTAAAGCTCTTCAAATGAGCTTTAGTTCAAGCACCCTGCTGCCATTTTGAAGTGCAGGGATGCTGATACAAGAGAAGCTGCTGGAGCTTTAATTAGAGCAGCTCTCGGATCCGCTCTAATTAAAATGCTGCCCCCCTGTCCCCCCACTCCCAGAGCACAAAGAAACTTGCCCATAGACTTAACTTAAAGAGCTCTCTTTCCTCCATTCTTTTTACCCCTTCTTGTATTTCTACAGAGAAGTCATTTCCCCTTTCTGCCTTTGTTTTGCTAGGCTAAACAAGCTACTCTCTTGTAGTCTCAGTTTGTAAGATCAGCTCTCCAGGTACCTCAGCATAGCAGCCTTTCTCTGCATCTCTTTCATTTTGAATTCCTCTTTCTTGTACATGGAAGAACAAAAGGGTACAGAGAATTCCAGCCTAGGTCTCACCAGTGCCTTGTATTATGGCATTAATACTCCCCTCTCTCTACTGTAGGTACCTTGGCTGATAAATCCTTGAGCTGTATTTGGCTTTTTCATAATGGTAATCGCTCTGATTGTTCATCATTGCTTCTGTCATTGCCAACGGCTTCCAGCTTACAAGGGAAATTCTTCTTATTAGGGCCAAATTCAGAAGGGTATTTAGGCACTTGATTTATCATAGAAATCAAAGAGAAATAAGACTGAGGTATTTACATACCTTTATGAAGCTGGGCCTTAGTCCCCCAGTAGCATGACCTTGCACTTCATGCTATTAAATATTATCCCATTTCCACTATAGCAGTCTACAGGCTCATCCAGTTCTTCTTTTCTTCTTGTGAAGTTAGCTGTTCTTTTATTCCTTGCCACCCCATCTTATGTTTCTGTCTGTTTCCCCTCTTCTTTCTCTACTGCAGCAAATCTGTTCTTCAGGTCAATAGCTCATCAATCAACTGGTCTATTGTCCTCCCATGTGACCTTCATGATCACATGTTTTCCTAAGCCACCTTTTACCTCCAGGGGTCTAGTCAGGTATCTGCATATTTTACATTGTCTGTGCAGCCTCTTCTCTCCTCTCCTCCATCTTGATTTCAAACAAACATCTTAACTCTACCATTGTATCCAGCTACCTGTACAGTCCTTGGGTAGTCTATGACAACTCAAGCATAAGTATCTTCCTTCAGGTACTCACTCAAGAATAATGTACATCTTTTACTTCCAACCAGCTTCATTGTCTTCTTCATTCTTTTAGTCATCTCCATGGCTGCCTCTGTCATCATCATCTTTCTCCCCCTATCTACTGTCTTTAAAGAAAAAGAGGACAGATTCCACCTCCCACCCCAACTCCCATGTAAAACTCCCTGCTCTCTATTTTCCAGAAATGGAAATTGAGACATGAATAGGTTGAAGAGAGTCTGTACCATGCCTAACTTCTAGTCTTGTGCTTTAACCTTGTAAAAGGCCCTCGCTGTGTCCTCATTACAAGAAAGAACAGAGAAAAGGAAGGTCCTTTAAAAGGGATGAAATGGTGGATCTAGTCCTGAAGCTGCCTAATTAGCTCTGCAGCGAAGTCTCTGTGTCTACATGTGCGGCCCTATGAGATTGCAGTAAACTAATAAATGCTGCCATAGGTTAGTACTTGTTAGTACATGTACTGTCCTGCAGTGGCATTATTTATTGCCAAGCAATGCAAGTGTAGGTGCTGATGGAGCTGACTGGGGCAAGCATAAGCAGAAGGAGAAAAGAAACTGAGGGGGCTGAGTGTTTCCCCCCCAGGCAGGAAAGTCTGTGGGGGGAAGTGAAAGGGCCAGTGGGAAGAGAGTGGGGCTGGGGCTGGGATTGGACAGGGATTGGGAGGGAGCAGAGCTGAGCCAGGATTGGGGCTGGGGCTGGGGTGTGCTGCACCTGTCCTTTCCCCTGCACCCAGGGTCATTGCCCAGCACTGGCGCCCCATGCGCCAATGAATCTGCCGCCCCCCAGCGCCACACTGGCCTCAGCCCTGGCTCTGGCCCTGGCTCTGGCCCCAGCCCTGGCCCCAGCCCTGCACCGCCCAGGGGGGCCCAGAACTGGGGGCTGGAGAGGGGCTAATCTTGGCTGCACTGCTGGGCTGGAGCCACTGGGACCCTTGTGCCCACCCTGCCCCAAGTCAGGGCAGGGTCTGGGACGAAGCCATGGCTCATCCGGGATGGGTGCAGGGGGGTGTGTGCAGCTGCCACCACTGCATGCATCCCAGGAGGCATGGGGGGTGCGTGCCCCCAGATCTGCATGGGGCAGGGCAGGCTGCAGGCTAAAACTAGGGCAGTGCCGGACTCTTCCCAGCAGGGGGGCCAGGCTGCACTGGGTGAGCAGTGGTGGTGCTAGGAAGGGGGTTGGGGGGGCTATGGGAAATTTTGGGGTGGCTGCACACCCTGCCCCCATAGCCCACTTCCAGCACCACCACCACGCCCTGGCCCCAGCCCACAGCAGCAACCCATCTTGCCCCATGCAGATCCCTCCATGCCTCCCAGGGTGTAGCAGCAGGAGCTGCGCCCCCTGGACAAGCTGCACACAGCTCAGTCCCGCACCCAACTGGCTGTGCAGGGTTGTGGGAAACGGAAGCATTCCATTTCGAACAGCGTTTCAACATTTTGGCAGAACAGTGTTTCATTTTGACAGGGTGTGTGGCTCTGCACCTTAACGACATGGTAAAGCTTGAGAGAGTCCAGAGAAGGACCACTCGTATGATCAGAGACTTGCACAGCAAGCCATATGAGGAAAGGCTAAGGGATCTGGGACTCTTCAGCCTGAAAAAGAGAAGGCTGAAAGGGGACTTGGTAGCTGCTTACCGCTATATCAGAAGTGTACAACTAGGGCTTGGTGAACAACTGTTCACCAGGGCACCCTTGGGGAAAACTAGGAGTAATGGACACAAACTCTTGGAAGATCATTTCAGGCTCAACATTATGAAACAGTACTTCACAACTAGGGTGTCTAGAATGTGACCATTCGAAACAGGTTGAAACAGTATTGAAACAAAACTGGTGGCAAAATTTTGCACAGCCCTACTGTGCAGTGCCTGCCCTAGCCCCAGCCCCACTCCCTCCTCACCCCTCCTGCAGCTGCTGAAAGCCCTCGGCCAAGCTGCCTTGCAGTCCTACCACTGCCCGGTGTTTGGGGGTTCTAAGCCCTGTTATCCCCCCCGCTTCTGCCACCTATGGGCACAAGGGTACTTCAGTGCAGGGGCTGCCTGCTGACTAATCCTGCAGTGAAGCACCCTCATGCCCTAGCCAGCCCTTCTGCAGCAAGTTGAGCCAGATTGGAGCAGCTCCAGGCTGGCAGGCTGACCCCTGGGGCCCCCTTAGAGCCAGAGTTATTTCGACCTAGCTAAACATGCTGTGGTCCTAGGCACATGGGTAAACATGGCACCCAGGACCAATAAACTCTGGCACAATATGTGCTGAAGTTTATTGCTTCACATGAATTGCATATGTAGCTGCACCTACAGAGTGAGAGGCCCTATTCTTATAGCAGTGATTCTCAACCTTTCTAGCCTTAAGGCATCCCTTGTTAGACTTACAGCACCTCAGAAAATGGCAACTTTGGTCTCACTGATTTTTTTACTTCAGAAAAGTAATAGAGCAATTCTTCTGTTATGAAGAACTTAGGAAGACCATGCTGTGTCAAAATGCTTTTGACACTATGGAATCCTATTTGGAATTTCTGGGTTTGTCCTGTGAATCATGAGTAGACATTTGCACACCTAACTGCGCAAATATAGTGTGGCATCCTTAAAAGGATCTTACAGCACAAGAGCTGTTTTAGAGGGCTACAGGGGAAGGGTCCCAGCAGTAAGGGCCCAAAGTACTAGAGAGGACAGGGTAGAGAGGACAGGGCATCTGCCAAAGAAGGCTAGACCAGAGAAAGTGACACCATGAGTAGGCTTGGGGAAAGGCCAAAACAAAGGAATATTTGACTAAGGCCCAGGAGGGCAGAAGAAAGGCTGGAACTGCTTCACTGTCTACCTACGATGAGTCCCTTGATTATACTGCTTGGAAATAAAAGGAGTGTTGTATACACAAAGAACAAGCTGAGCCATAATGGGGCAAAATCAAAATACCAAGAAGACAAGGAAACAATTCTAAATATAATGTTTTTAAATGTTTGTTATTATTGTTTATAACAACTGCCCTTTAAAGTAATTACTTCAGTAAGTTGCATACCATCAAGCTCCCAGGAAGAAGATGTGAGCTGAGAGAATGTTTAATTCATAGCCTGATAGAATCCTCTCATTGTATCTGTTTATCAGGGTCTGTATCCTACCAAATGGCTGTCCAGGATATGAAACTTTTTTTTCCAGAAGGCCTGTGTTGTGCTAAGTGCCAGGTATTAGAAGAAGACGAGGTAAGTCTGGCTTTACCTGAAAAATAATCCCTGCTATTTTAAAATAATGGCTTTGTTCTCTTTAATACCAGGACTCTCTTCCTCATTATGATGCTTCCTATTTTACTGATCAGTTATTGATTTTTCCTTCAACCCTAAACATTCCCACCATCCCAATAAGAGAGAGGCTTTCCTAAGTTCTATTTGTGGCAAATTTTACTGCACAAATGAGAGGCTATATACAAAGTTTCCGGATCAAGATTTCCAGACTGAATCAATAGGGTGCTTTTGAAGTGAGAGACAGCACTACACAACAGGAGCAATTAATCATCTAAGATATCCAGTGGATAAAAAGCTGGGGTCTGATTTACAGAGCCACAGAGTATGGCAGCTCCTGTGTGCTTCGGTTAGAGGGTGAGACACTCAGCACTTCTGAAAGATCATGCTGGACAGTTTTTATTAATACTAAATGCTGATGACCCTACTAATATTGGCATGCCATTCTCCTGCTTCTCTCAATTCATCACCATGATGGAGAAGAAGGGGTTTTCCCAGGCCTGTTGTCAAGTCATACGAATTTCAGGATAATCCCATTTTCAAAACAAATGGAAGAAAAAACTGGCACTGAAAGATCATTTCTCTGGGAGGTATCTTGCCAGAATTACAGCTGTTTGAGGATCCCTACTGAAATATTGACCACCTGTGTGAGGAGGAGCCTCTGCCTGCAAAAACAACCCAGTCCTCCCCTTGCTTTCTAATTTGATAGGAAATTCACTGTCAGGCACCTGGCTGTAGGAATTAGGTTTGTATTGGGGAAGGGCAGATGACAACCTCCAAAAAAAGCCACTTTGAAATACATAAAAACAACTGCATTACCCAGCTTTCTGCTCCCAGTTTCTTGCTGGGTATGGAAGGGGTTGGAAGTGCTAAAGGGATGTATTTACTTTGTATGTACAAGGCAGAGGGTGCCTCAGAAATCTTTGAAATATCTCCTATCCTTAGCAAATGTTCAGGTCCTAGGGAAAGCGGTGTGTCATGCTACTGAAAAGCACCCTTCCTCTAGTGACTATGGAATGATATCAGTGAGCTGCAAAGGAAGCACCATCCAGTCCTCTCTTGTGGGGAAGATGGAAACCTCAAGGGTGAGGTACATAAAGCAGCGGAAAGAGAGAAATGTTAAGGCTTCAGTAAGGACATGGAAGTAACTTGGTGTATAAAAAAGCTGCAGTATGAAACACTCTCTGGAAATAGAATGAATTCTCTATCTTAAGACCAGCACTCACAACTTCCTGAACACTTCATATCCAATGGGTACATCTACATGTGCTGTTAATGCAGTAAAATACTGTGCAGTAAGCCTTCCCCAGGAGCACATCTACATATGCACCCTGTTGGGAGCAATTCTGCTTCCAATGGGAGCAGCAGGCTGCTCCTGCTTTGCTCTGCCCCCCTGCAGCAGCCAGGGGGAGCAAGGAGCATGGGGGGCAGTCCTGATTCATATGGGACCAAGAGATCTCTGCTGGCTGCAGTGGCAGCTGTCTCCTGGCCCCATGCTCATCAGGAGGGGTCCTGATGTGCAGGGGCCAAGAGACAGATGTTGGTGCAGGTGGCAGAGCTCTTCTGGCCCCATGCACATAGAGACACAGCTGCTAGTGAGCCCCCAACTGGGCGGGGATTCTTCCTGCAGCAGGAGGCTGGCTGGAGCTGTCCCACTTGTGGGGCAACTACTGGTGACTGGGCAGGGAACCTCTGCCCAGCCAGAGGCTCACTGGCAGCTGCCCCACAAGTGGGACAGTTGCAAGCAAGCCCCTGGCTGAACAGGGAAGCAGAGAGCTCCCAAGTCCCAGCACTGCTTGGCTACTAGCTCCTGTGGAGAGCCAGGAGCCATGCAGTGCCAGGATGGGCGGGGGAGGGGAGGAGGGGCAGAGACTGACCCCATCCCAGCCCTGATCAGCTCCTGGAGGGAGCCAGGAGCTGAGGAGTGCCAGGACTGGGGACAGAGAACTCCTCCATCCCCTGTGACCCCCTCCTGGTATGGTTGACCAGGAGCAAATTTTCTCCGGCTCGGTGTCTACATGAGTGCTACTGCATAATACCTCATGCACAGTTAATCTACTACCTGTATTTACGGGTAATAGAAAACTGTACATTAGCTTAATTTACTGGGCAGCAGCTGCTGTGCAAGGTTACATGGTGACACCTTACTACACAGTAGTTTAGTCTACTGTGCAGTAAAGCATCTTGTGTAGACATGCCCAGTGAATACTTGGGAATGGAAATAAGGACTAAAATCTCCAGGAAAGGAACTAGGTTTTCAAATGGATTGTTGCATTTGTCTCAGAAGTCCCAGTCTTACCTGGCTCTCAGTAACCATATAATTCCTTTTATCCATCCTTAGAACTCCTCAGAAATCGAAAGTACATGGTTTTCCCCTCAGTGCTACATACTTTGGAATGAGCTAGCATGTAAAGGATTCAAGGGCAGAAAGAGACAAGTAAAAGGAAGGGAATCCAGTGCTTAGAGAGAGCATTGTGAACCCATGTGTGGGTGCTACCAACCTGTACCTTTTCATAGCATATATAAGGACAGATTCCATTTGATCTATATAGGTGCTTAAGTGAACTAAAGTGCCTAAGTACTATTCTATGCCATTCTGCTTGAGACCCTGAAAAAACAATTAATGCAAAAGATGGGTGGGTCCTCCTCCTCCTCCGCATAGCCATTTTGTGAATCAATCTTAAGGGTCAGATGATGGCATGTTACAAAGTAGATGCATTAATGGATTTTCAGGATTTGAACAGGGTGGAATAAAATTGCACATAGTTGCCTAAGTAAATTTAGATGCCTTATAGATGGAATAGAATCTGGCCAGTAATAAATCTTTTGGCAAACTGTATACGGACTCCATCTTAAAAGGGTGACGCTGTACCTATGACATCAAGGGTTAAATTGTCTATGCTGTCTTTAACTTAAACCGCCAGTAATATAGATATATTTATATGAACTGCAGTAGTTGAAATGAAATGACGCCTTTGCTTTTCAAATAGCTATTCAGATTTCTTTTCCACTATGATCACAGTATCTGCCAAATTGAGGAGCTAGAAATGATAGTCATACTAAAGGAAAGGAGGCTTTTTGGATGAATGTAAAATAGTGTCTTGGAGATTCTTGTGGTTCTGGAGAGTGTGGCCTTTAAGAGTTTCAAGCAGACTTTGGAAGGGATGTCAGAGTAACAAGGCACCGGGCTGAACCAGAACCAGCTGAGGAACAATGTATGCAGAATGTTCTTTTAACACCAGACAATATGACCAGGTGTTTTCTAGGGTAGCAATTACAGGCATATGCGGCATCCTGACAAATGCTTCACAGCTGGCCTGAATCGACAGTTAGAGAGTGTTATTCTTCCTCATTAGGTAACACTGTTCACATGACATGACTTTCCCCTTCCTTTCTGCAGATCTGGAACATTAAATGTGACCCAATACTCGCTCTGGAAATCAACAGGCAGCGCAAAATTGTAAAATGTGAAGTGAGAAGGCAACTCAATTTATTGGGCTCTGAGCAGCTGCCTGGGTTAGGTAAGGAAATGTATAACTCTTTCATTGTAGGCCTCAAACTGCTATTGATTAATTGGATAGAAAGACAAATCATCTAGTGGCAGCCAGAGTCGTTACTGATGTCCTTTCAGGAAGGAGAGACAACTCTGGGCTGGAAAGAACTTCTTGGAAGGAGTTTGCACCTTTAACCCCTTGTATACCAAGTGTCTCCAATACCCATACTTTTGTTGATGTACATTTAGCTCCAATAAGAAGCAGAGACCAGAACATCTGGCAGACTGGGGTCCTCTGTCTGTGGAGACAGGTAGTATATGAACAGCAGTGCAAGCTTCCCACGCAATACTCACTTTAAGTCAGACCTTGGTTGAGAGGCTGCTTTAGGCTCCAAGCCTGTTTATTCCCTAGCTACCCTGTGAAGACTGCTCCTGAGGTGTCAGATTCTTGGGCCCCAACACATGTTCATTTAATGGCACAGTGGGACCTGATCCCTGATCCCAGCAATCGTGTTTCCTCCCATGCCATGTCTGTATGATTTTGGAATCAGAGTCAGATCCCTATTGCAGCATTACTACTTACAATACAGGAAGATCCCAAGATCATAATCCTGGTCCCTGGCCTCTGTGTAGGGTTTAAAGTCCCTAGTGGGGGAAGTTCCTTGGCTCTCCCACTGGGATACTCTGATCTCCTGGGCCCAGCAGCTGGGTGTGGGGCATAAAGTACCATGCAGCTCCCACCCTCCCAGCCTAGGGGCAGAGCTACATTCAGCTGAATGTCAGACCCAGGTCATTTCAGACCCCAGTGTGGTCTAGGCCCCAGAACCAACAGTCAGCTGATTGTCTGCCCCAGCCACATATAACATTAAAGGTGCCATACAAACAAGCGATAAAAATGTTCTACATTATATGTGGAACATTTTTATGGCTGGTTTCCCATGTTATGGTGCCTTAAATCAGGTGCACGTGTAGTACCCTGCCCATTTATGCTGAGATTAACACGCTAATGGCATTAATATAATGTGTAACCTTGTTTGTGGGCACATTCTAGAACCCTTAGCTAAGCAGATTGATAACTAACATGAGTTATGGTTGCGTTTCAGGTGATGTGGACATCTCCCTGCAAATGGGACCAAGACCATTAGTTGGATTGGAACTTGCAGCCTCCTCAGTCCTTTGAGTCATTTAGTCCCCTTGAATGAAAGATTACATGTTTTCCAGGCTGTGTCTATTGGTTTTATTGGACAGGAGGATACCCAGGCAGAGCTGTTAATGTGATCCCTTCTACAGCAAAAGACATAATCTAAGGAGCTTCCCATCTTATGCCTTCAAAATATAAAAAAATAGATGTGCAGTGATTTGGCCCCAAATCTTTATAATAAGGCAGTAGCATAACTAGGGTGGGGGCAAACAGGGCTCCAGGGGCATTCCCACCCTTTTTGGCATTGTGCCAAGGATGCCAAAATTGTAGTTACAGTTCTGTAAAAAGCCAATAGTCAGATTATTTTCTTCCCCTGATTGGTGGCAAATTAGTTGTCATTTGTAGTCGTCTCACCAAGGATACATTGACTGGGAGCTCAGGTGTTCTGAAAGGAATTTTGTTCCATCTTTAATTATGTTCTTAGGCCACCTGAATGTTGTCTGTTTAATTGCAAAAGGACAGGTATGCAGGTGGGTGAGATACTGAGAAAATCTTGTCCTACTGTAGGTACTTGGTTCTACGTATATTTCCTATGAGTAAAGCCACTAGATCCTAGTGGACCCAGCAGAATAGCAGTAAAACACCCCCACAGAAAGACAGTCCCCTTCGGATATGCCATGCCTTGGCCTCACTACTAATGCAACAGGTTTGGGATTTGATCTGGAACAGATGTGGAAATGCAGTGTGTAGAAGTGCAAAAAATGAAGTGACAGTAGATGAGGGAGCACAAGGGTTCTCAGCTGTGCATTAAGAAAAGACTGGCTGCTGAGGGGGGAAAGGTAGGAGGACATAAGTCACTCCTGCCTAGTAGCACCCTGAAAAAGGATCTCATTTAAAGCCCTAGTGCAGGGGTGGGCAAAATAAGGCCCATGGGCTAGATCTGGCCCACCAACAGATTTAGTTTAGCCCACAGGTGGACAGTCACTAACTAATTGGATTGGCACTGCTTCCCACCAAGCAGCATCATGCATCTGCTGTGGACCCGGATGGGGCTTCAGCTGCAGTGGCCAGGCAGTGGCATCACCTGTGGATGTTTCCAATAGGTTCAGGAGCCTGGACATCCTCCCAATGCCATGGAGGCCCCACCTGGAGCCCCAACCCAGAACATGCCAGTGGCATTAACTGTGGACCCAAGCAGGAGCTGCTGCCATGCCGGGTGAGTGGTGGTGTTAGTTATGACACCACCTGTAGGTTCTGCATCGGGGCTTTGGAACCTGTTGGCTATGCCCACAGCTGATGCTGCTGCCTGCCTGGTGCAACAGCAGCTCCTGCCTGGGTCCACAGCTGATGCCACCAGCAAGTTCCAGGTCAGGGCTCCAGATGGGACCTCCACTGTGCTGGGAGGGTAGCAATGTCAGTTGTGGATGCTGCTGGCAAGTTCTGCATCCAGGCTCCTGAACCTGCTGGCAGCCACACCTGATGATGCCGCCTGCCTGCTGCAGTGAACTACAGTGGGTTCTGGAAGGAGCAGAAGTAGGAGAGAGACAGAGAGAAAAAGAGAGGCAGAGAGCAAAGAGAGACGGAGAGAGAGAAGAGAAGGGAGGGGGAGAGAGAGAGAGAGATGGATGTGGCCCCTGCCAGGTCCCCAAAACTCCTTAGGTGGCCCTCCAGCTGAAATAATTGCCCATCCCTACCCTAGTGGATTTTTTCCACTGATTTCAGCCAGCTTTGGGCCAGGCCTCATGAACACTTCAGTTCCTGCCTTCTCAAACTTGTTCATTCTCCTGCCTTGCATGTTGATGAGCATGGGACTGGCTGCACAGGAGCTTAAGGTGTAATTGTCACTCCATATGGAGACCCAGACCTAGAGCTTAGCTTTATTTACACTCACAGATCACTGCCACATGTGCAGGGTTCATCCAAACCGTCACAAAAGGACTTGAAAAAATAAAGTACTGATAACACTGTGCAGGGGGTGGCTGCTTCACACCCTATATCAACTGGTTTTTGCTGCCCTTTCCATTGTATCTGGATGGCAGTAAAAAAGAAGTGACTACTTCACATCTAATGTTTCCACTCAGGTAAATAGGAAGTCTGAGATAAGACAGTCTTTTCAGTGGAAAGAGGCTATCAGGTTCTTTCCATTCCAATCCTTCCTGCATTTATTAAACGATGTTCCTAACTGTAGTTCCAAGCAGTTGCCTAACATTCAAAGTATTTCCCTCACTGGTTGCCTGGGCTGACTATAGCAGGTTTAGTATAATCCCAAACTAGATGCATTTAAATTACTGCAAGTAAAAATGCTTCCCTGAAGAGGCAGGAGGAATATGTTGCAAGTATCATGTAACCTTGCATGTTACACCCTGTCCTAACTCCTGTGTTCTGTCATGCAAATACCACTCCTATGATGTGTCTTCACTTTGAGGACCTTCAGGTAGGGTGAAAAGTAAAATAATGCCTTTGACTGCCATAATACTCTAGCATAATATCATCTAAGAAAGCCCTTTTCAGAGTGCAACTGTGTTGAGAGAGCCTAGATACGGGATCACTTTCTAGTAAGCCAGATGCATCATTCATGTTCTGATCTTATTGTGGACACTAGAGGGAGCGCTTGGACACAAAGAATCCTCTCCCTTTGGCTCACATTTATCCAATACTCTGACACGAACAAACAGATTTATCATAGTAAATACGTCAAATGTTATGTCTGTGATCAGCATCACAGTTCAGATCATATAAACAGCTGGACTAACAGATTCCTTTGTCTGGAAGAAATTAAATGGAAGAGCATATCCTGTAGCAAATCAGGAGCTGTCCTTGTCTGACTTCTCTGAAAATACTACTGTATTACTGTATTTTGGTATGTACACACCAGTTCAACACTTGGAGAGATGCAATTACATCTGCAGCCAACCTACATAGTGTAATGTTGCATGAATGGCTCTGATCCTTCTGTTGTTTAATTTGATTGGGGGAGGGAAGAATGATTGAGAGGAGGGTTCTTTTATATATATGAAAACAGCCATCTGTTGTGTTTTGATCTTTCTCCAATCAGACCTGCCACTTCTGGGTACACTCTGCCAAACCACTTGCCTGATATTTCCCAAGATAATCCTTCAGGGTTCGGAGCACCCACCTTATATTGAACTACTAGACCAGCTGATCGGCCAAGGTTTCACAGTGACAGGGTTACGACTCACCGTATTCAACAAATCCCAGGCTCATCTTGTCTCTGAGATACTGAGCATGGCAAAATGCAAGGTTTCAGCAATGGTATGGAATAGTGAGAGCTGTGCTTTCCCCTTTCATCAAGAAGAAGAGCCATTTTCTTAGTTGATACATTCATGGTTTTGCTTAGTTGTATTAAAGACTTTAGACATGGCTAATCTGTATTAGGCCTTCCAGTGTATCCCCCTCTATCTATGCATGTTTGCTCTATATTGTACATTTGCTAGAGCTGTATCCAGCCTGGTTTTAAATACAGTAGCATCCATATCTTCTCTTGGGAGCATTTCCATTGATTCAGAGAGGAAGTTTTTCCTGATAATTAGAGATGATGTTTCCCCATTGTTAATTTCACCCCATTAATCCTATTCCTTTACTTGCTTTGCTAGATAAGCCTTCCCTTTCATGGTGATTCCACCCTTGAGATATCGGGAAGGGATTTTGTTCTACTCCTCTGTTAATTGTTGTTGAGAACTCTAGCCCGGATCCAACAAATCGCTTTAACATATGTTTATCACAAAACATATTGCTGAAGTCAGTGGAGCCAAACCAGTTTATACCTGCAGCGGATTTGGCCCAAAATCTTTTCCTCTCCTCAGTTGCTATGAAAAAATCCCACCCAGTCAGGGACTGAGGGGAACAAAGCAGCAAAGTTTAACATCCCAGAAGAGCTGTCAAATGCACAAAGTAACCAACAGGGGGAACTGATTATGCTGGAACCAGCTATAAACAAAGGACCATCAAGTGCACAGGAACCCAACTCAAAAATACAGAAAAAAAATTGTTCTAGGAGTCTTGCGGGTTACTGAGAATAATGGCAGGTAACATATTTTCAGACTGACTTTTAAACCTATGGTTTAGCTCTGCAAAGAGGAGCAATTGTAAGTAGCAATCAATTAAACAAGCACCTGCTTCATCTCCTGTAGTTATCCCAAGGATACCAGTCCCTAGGTATACAGGAACAAGCACAGCTGTATAGGGAGGACAAAAGGAAGTAGCACAATAGATACAGAGCAGTGCTAGGAGGGGCTGGCCTCCTGGCAATGAAAGGATTTTTCCCAAGCAGAGTTGGAAGGGGCTGGCATATCTCCAGATAGGCCTGGCACTGTTAAACCAAAGGTGTTCATTATGGCATTTTCTCTCCCCTTCTGGATGGGAGACAGGCCTTTCTGGTGATAAGTATTTGTGCTTGGCTATCTCATGGTTTCCAGCCCAGAAATCCCTATCCTTCTGTTCCAGCAGGCACCTATTAATGCTAAATGAGTAGCAAACCTGAGGTAACTCTTTCCAATATACCTGTTTGTACCTTGCCTCTGAGGTAAATGAATAGAAATAATCAAGTGCCACAGAAAATTAGTGCTAACAGGATTCAGATGAAGTAGGTGCCTTAAAGTATGGGTTACTGCATCTTTTTCATCCTCCCCTGCATCAAATAATAGGCTGTATCAGCTTGTCTGTGAGGATCGCAGAGTTATTTAAATGGGTCTCAGAACTAGAGTTGTGTTCTTCCCTCTCTTGCAGTGCTCTGTCTTAATGGATGGTCCCTGCCTAGTGTTAGCAGCACAACGTGACAATGCTGTTATTTGTTTTGACTCCCTGCTGGACAGGTAAGCAAAAACAGCCACCCATTATTTGCACTCCTGACCGCTATGTCAATCTGTGGTAGAAAGCACTTGATCTGAACCATGGTTAGGGAGGGCTGAACTGTCTTCGCTGCAATTCCTTTCCAATTCAACTCCCCTAAGGTTAGGTGCCTCTCAAAGGCAACATGTTCTTCATTATTTATATTGAGTTTTAATGCGTCAGCACATCAGAGCATTCCTCATTTTTTAAGTCATGTGTACTAAATCCAGGCTTTTAATGACCATGTCCTGGGGCATCTTTCAAGGACTCAGGAAGCGTGGTGTGGTGACTTGACAATGCAGTTGCATAGATACAGAAAATTTTCTGAAATATAAGCCTGCATTGGAATCAATAACATTCTTGGGAGAAAATCTGTACAGATTCTGCATGTGCCATGAAAAAAATGACATCAAACAAATGCCAGAGAACAAAATTAAAAGCTCAGCCTGTTAAATAAATCACCACAAATGCCTGGTACAGGAATAAACCTGATCGAAGAAACAGAACCCCCTCTTGTGTGATCTGATCAGTGGAACAGAATTATAAGACTTGTTAACCCTTTGGCTCTCAGAAGCAAAGTTTCCCAGCACTGGGAATTGATATTTGGCTGTGTGATATGCAGTTGCATGTATGTGGCTTTTTCTGGTGGCCCCACTGGGTCAAAAACATGGCAGAGACCGTGTATGCTGTCACCCTCTACAAGAGGGATCATGTAGCACTCACCCCTGCAGCCCCTTTGAGAAGGCTGTGAAGAGGCAGGCTGTTCAGCCCTCAGAGCTTCCAAATAGTACTGTCAGATGGGATGGAAGGAGGAACTCAAAAGTACTAGTGCTTGCAAGCATTAGTGTGGCCAAAGAGCTAAATAAGATCTGAACTTTCCTAATCAGTTAGTTTCTTGGGATTCTCATTCTCTGGGTAGCCAAGAACAAGGCCACTGGTCCTCCACTGGATAAGAGTTATGCCTTTTTGATTAATTGCATGTGATTTCATCCTCGGGGGGGGGGGGACGGCACCATGCTGTTTCATGTGAAGGTCAGCTACCTACCTCCTTGTCTACATCAATAACCTGACTTCATGCACAGAACCAACCCTGCTCCGGCTCCAGGGCAGCTCCTCTCAGTCAAGGTGGGATTTCACTTACAGGGTGAATTTTACTTGTAAGGCAATGCACGGTGGCTTTTATGGCTGATCAAAGGAGCATCAACTGGCCAAACAAAAAGGGTCTTCAATGCTCTGTCAAAGTTGGCTCTGTACTTTGTCTGGACAGGCTAGTATTTAGGAAAATTTGGCCAAAGATTCATGACAGAATGTGTAGCAAGTGTGGCCTGTACTCCAGCCTCTTGCCTTCTTCTCTAGCTGCCCATGGATTGGGAAGTGGACTCCATTTCACAAATCCCCATTAACCCCCACCCCCCACTTTCCAAAACAAAACCATTACTCATGCTTTGTATAGGGGGGCAAATTTCACCATCTGCTTGCAAATCTGTTCATGATATCACAGCATTAGCTATAACGCATAGCAAGAAGCAGGTGTGCACCAAGACAGTGCAAGCTTTGCTGGTATTTTCATTAGTAGTCAAGAGCCTATTAGTACTTTCCTAAGCTGGCTCTTCTGGTGCCACGTAAGAGAGGGATGTGTCACTTTTGAAGAACTTGCTGTCCAAGGGAGTTTCCTTAAAGTCTGAAGCATACTCCAGTCTGAACAAATAGTTATTATTCCTGTATAACAGTGCTCTGCAAGTGCAAGGCATTAGGCAAAAACCACTCAAAATGGGATTGTGTCCACTCCAAGGAGCTCAAGAAAAACAGACAAGAAGGCAGGTGTGACACAAAAGGGAAACAAAAATAATCAGTTTCTGCACAACTCCATTTGATCTGCTCCAAGCAGCACAGAAGTGAAAGTGTGCAGTTATGAACAGCTTGCCATGTGAAGATAAACAGCGAGGGGCAGAGTTAAGTAGATCTTTAGAGGAGATGAGAACTAGTGGAGGTGAATCCAATGGGATGGCATGCCAGTACAGAACAGTGCTTCTGAAACTCACCCACTTTATTTTATCAGCTCAGTTCATTGAGTCTCTAGTAGGGCTGTGCAAGGCTCTGGTCCCTGATTCAATTTGGCCCAATTCAGGGGCCGAATCTCCAAATCCGAATCGAATCAGGAGACCCTTTAATCTCTCCAAATTGAATTGGAACCCTCTGAATCTATTTGGAGAGATTCAGAAAGATTTGGAGATTTGGACATAGATACAGCTTTAAATGTTTTTTCTACATGCCTTTAGGTAGCAGGAGCTCATGAATGCTTCGAAGCTGGGGCTCATGGAGCATCCCACAAAAGTGCAGGGAGCTCCCCAGCGCATTTGGCAGCAGACCCGGAAGTGGACCAGAAGCACGTTGGATCCACTTCTGGGTCAGCCGGGGAGCATGTGGGGGACCTCCCTGCGCCTCCCCAGCTTGGTGACTGGTGCCTCCTGGGTCTGGGGGGGCACCCAGGGTTCCCCTGTGGCTGATCACCAAGCCAGGGAGATGTGGGGGGGGGGGCAAGTGCACTCCCTGGCAGACCCAGAAATGGACCAGAAGTACTTCTGGTCCACTTCCAGGTTCACTGCTGAGTACGTGGAGGTGCCCCCCTGCACTCCTGTGGGACGCTCCATGTGCCCCAGCATCGCAGCAATCACGAGCCATGCCTGCTACCTCAAGGTATGTGGAAAAAACTTTTAAAGCTGTGTCCATGTCCGAATCGCTGATTCTCTGAATCAGCATCAAATCTTCAGATTCGGATTCAGCCGAATTGAATCAAGGACAGTGACGCGAATCAACGAATCGAATCACTGTCTCTGATTCAGGCTGAATCCGAATCAAATAGGGCCCACTTCACACACTCCTAGTCTCTAGCATGATCCAATCTAACTGCTACATCTGCATGCTCCTGTCGTGATACAAATTGGCCAAATCACTGGAACTTTAACCCTGAATGAAACAGAGTTAAAATTGGAGCTGCTTTGGGATGCTTCTGGCTCTACAAAACCTTGCAGCTGGAAGTCACATTGTAACAGCTTATATCAGTATCATTTGATATGGATACAATTGTTACATCTGCCTATACCCTGGGGTTGCAGCGGAGTGACTGTTGTGTTTTTAAAAAGTTCAATGCATTTGAACTGAATAATTCATAAATTGTAAGAGTGCAAGGAATCATCACATCATCTCATCTGCCCCATATAACTCGGAGCAGAGAATTCCATTGCTCCTTCTCCATGGGGTCAAACAACAAATATTTGACTGGAGCATAATTATCCCAGAACAAACCCTATCTGTAGTTTTGGCTTATGATTTTACATTTTTAACCAATATCCTCAAAATAAATTGGAAAGAAAGGAAGTTGGAGGTGGGGGGGTAAAGAAAATTGTTCTGGATGGCTGACACAAGGCACCCTCTCCAAGTAGGTGGCTGCAAGTGAGCTCTAGATCAAGCTTATTTAGATGTTTAAACTTCTTCCTTTGAGAGGAAATGTGCTATAGAAATATAAGATGCTGTTATTAAATGGACACAAGAGTGCTGTAAAATCACTGGATAACTTGGTTTGTTATAGAAGGAGTTGGATTTTGACACCCAAATTCTGTACTTAGTTGTAAGAGTAGGGAATAGGTCATGGTTTCAAAAGCAGCTAAATGATTTAGGAACCTCTCACTGATTATTTTTCACTGGGACTTAGTCCCCTAAGTCATCTAGACACCTCTGCAGTATTTACCCCAGTGTCTTACTCCCTTTCATCCCCCAACCCCCTCTTCCCTTACTGGCTGATTCATGTGGGGCTGAGATGGATTTGAGAGTGAAAGTGGTAAAGGAAGGACTCCTGGAGATTTCATGGCACTGAGAGTAGCATAAGAAGTCCTGTACATTTAAAAGAAGTGAAACATAAACCTTTTGGAATTAACCTGTCTGAGATCCTCTCTCTCCACTGAACGTGAACAGTGGGGGCGTCTTTCTCCCCACTGCCCAGAGACCCTATTACATAACAGGTCATCACTGTATGTTGGAGGGATTATATTTTAAGAATCCCAATCCATTTATACAAAGCTTTTTAAAACCTGGATTCATCTGTGTAAAGAAGTTCAGCAACAGATGCACATGGCCACAGCTGCTGGCACAGAACAGAGCCTTCCTTGCAGCTAGGTCATTTGTAGACTCTGATAGGTTAAATGACCAAATAACACTTGTTTTTTCCCGTCTTTTATTCTCTACTTCCCCAGTGTTTGCTGGCAGAACCAGGCTGTAGTGGATTGTATGCAGCATCTTCTGTATCCCCAAACTGAGAAGCAGGCAAGTAGAGAAGATCCTGGTACATTTTTCTTCTCATATTGTGCTCTTGGGTATATATATTAAGTTGGGCTTCTCTGAAAATGGGAGGAAAATTCCAACAAAAACAACATTTTCTCTTAGTGAAGGTGAAGGGAAGCAGAGCTTCCTAGAAACCTCTGGCCATATGGCACCCTGGTAGATGTAGTTTTGGCAAAGAGTCCAGCCCATAGAGATAACTAGAGGCATAAGATCCCCATGAGACGGCATGGTAAGACTTACAATCAAAATATGGGAGGTTCTTGGCAAAGTATCGCACATCTCCAGAGACTGGCTGCTTTTCAAAACAAGTGTGGTAAGAAATCTGACTTTAATCAAAACCAGTATTGGTGAAAGACTTTCAGCCAACCCTAATATAAAGCCTATTTTCCCACAGAATGGACCTCTCTCTGATTCCCAAGTGGGGGAAGGGCAATGGGTCAGTAACCCATGAAGCAACAGGTGGGCTTTTTTTTGTTAATAGCACACGGCAAACAGGAAGACAAACAAGCCAGATTTTAAGATGCTTAACTAACTCCCGTTGAAATCAGTGAGAGCTAAGTACCTTTAAAATCTGGGTTTTAAGTCAAGTTCAGCAGGGATCAATTTGAAACCCACAGCGAGCTTTGGAGGCAGGAAGTCCTGGCTAAACAAGCAGTGGCAGTAGGTATAAAAGAGCTGGGACAGACCAAGAAATGGTTGCTAGCAAACCAGGCTGTTTATGGATTTGTTCTGCTCACTGAGAAAGCAGCAGGAGGTTTTAGATGTGCCTGTGACAGGACAGAGCTCATTAGAACTGGCACCATGCAGCAGATTTCCCACAAGATAAACATTCAGCACCAGAATCCAGATCTACAGCTGCAAAAGAGCCCTTCTTACAGGTGTGTCTGTATGCAGCCAAATCAGGAGCTCCCTAGGCTCAGCAGTGCCTGTCTGTTTTTTCTAGCAAGAGGCATTCTGCGCTACTCTTGCTATGCAGTTTAATTCCCATAATGCTGAGTTTGGAGTGTGATACAATGGCCTGGAAACTTTGCTAATACAGTTCTTAGATGGCTCTGAGGCTGTTATATTGTAATGCCTACTGCTTCCAGTAGGCCAGGTGCTAAGAGGTTGTGATATGATGTGACCTGAGAACAGGTGTGGACAGTCTGTTTTTTGGGGTGCCCTGTGATTTTGCTTAAGCATTATATTGCTTGTCTCTGATATAAAATCCCTACTAGTCTTTTGACCATGAATGTAAAAATCAGCCTGTAACAAAGGATTATGATGCTTTTCCTGTGTTGGGATGTGTATGCAATGCTATACATAGGGTGTGGATAGACAGTTTAAGATATTTAGAATTACAACACTTTGCAGCTGATCCACTGTGACATCTCTATGCTCTAGTCTTCTTTAAGTAGAGGGTAAGCTATTGTTACTTTAAGTTATATTAGTTTAGCTCTAGCATATCAATATAGGAGCAGACAAACAAAGCATTTATTAGTTCAGCTAACATGCACCTCCAAGCAGCAAGTCTTCCCTGCTTTAAAGCACTTTAGTGTTGTGCCTTTCCATAGCCCCTAAAAAAAAAAAAACCCCCAAA